ACGTGCGCGTTGCGGCGCCATTGCAGTCGGGACCCGCAAAGTCCCAACCCTGACTGACAACGCCCACTGAAGGCGTCGCTGGAGGGGGCGGAGCGGGCGCCGCGCCTGGAAAGAACGGCGGAAGCGGCGGCGGCGGCGGAGCGAGCAGCCCTGCGAACGCGAGGTTGGCAAGCTGCTGCATCAGCGTGCAGCCAACGGCGTAGCCGTTCGTGGCGATGACCCCGAACGAGATGTCGAGAGTCGGCGAGTAGCACGCGTAGCGGCCGGAGGCGCCGAGAGCGCACACCCAATCCGGGTTGTAGAGCCAGAACCTGTAGCCGTAGCCCATGAGCAGCGGCGACGCACCACACTGCCTCCCGCTGTAGTACCAGGGGGACCAGTGGTTGCTCATCGCCGTCTGTACGAACGTCGTGGAGAGGAGGCGGGGGCCGCCGGGCGCAGCGAGCCCCTGCTGCCGGAAGAGCAGCACCAACTTGGCCAGGTGGCGCGGCGCCATATGGAGGTCTGTCTCCGTGTTCTGAAGTGTCCCGGCGTCGATGGGCCACGTGAACTCACCGGCGGACACGCCGAGCGCGGGAAACAGCGAGCTCAGTCCGAATTCCATCGGCGTGAGGCCGCTCTTCTCGTAGATGATCCACGCAAGGATCTTCTGCGTGCAGATGTAGTTGAAGGAGCCTACCTCCGCGTTGGTGAAGCTGACATAGCCCTGGTTGAGCGTCGCCACCAGCGTCGCGGTTGCACCGCCCCAGCCGCAGCCCCACTCCGTCAGGCCGCTCGACATCGTAAGGAGCTGCTCGACCGTTATCAGCCGCTTCTCTGCGCCTCTGTTCACCGTGTCCCAGTTGAGCGTCGTGAAGATGTCCTCGAGCTTTGTGGAGAGCGTGAGCTGCCCAGCGTACAAGAGCTCGCCGATCATCGTTGCCGCCCAAGATTTCGTGCACGAGAAGATTTGGTACGTCGACGTTGCGTCACCGACGTCGTACCGCTCGGCGACGACTTCAGTGCCCTTGAGGACGACGTAACCTTTAAAGCCGATGCCCGAAGGGCCGATCGCGTCGGTGGCCGCGCTCAAAGCGACGGCGTCCGGGTGGGTGTTGTAGCCCGCCGCGTTCACGAGCGGCAGCGAAAGGTCGACGTAGTCGTCAGCGGCAGACGGCGTTGCTGGTGGCGATGCCGGCGGCAAGGGCGGAGTGCCGGGTGGTTGTGGCGCCGGCTCGTCGCCGGGGGCTGCAGCGCAATTGTACATGCCTTCGCAGGTCGCCGGTGTAAGGTCGTCGCCACCCAGGGACTGGTAGCCCACGCAGTGGAAGCAGTTGAGCCGATTGGCCGGGTCGTAAGCGGCTTTGACCTGAAGCAGGCGAGGCAGGTTGGCGCCCCACGCCTGCGCGTCCCAGTCGGGCTCGTCCTTGGCCGCGTGGTTGTAGCACACGCCTGCGGGCGGCCGGGCGGTTTGAGCGTTGGGGCAAGAAGGTGGGTGCCCATTGGCTTGAGGAATTTCTTGCGGTGTGGCTGGGCGCGCATTGGCTTGAGGAATTTCGAGCGCACCTGAGTCGGGCAGGTCGTCGCGCAGTCGCTCGATGAGCCTCGGGTCGAAGACCTCCATGTTCCAAATCGAGACGCGTACCGACGGGTGCACGGCCGTCTCGTCGGCGGCCACGTCAGTGACCGCGCCGCCCAGGAAGTAGTTGAAGGTGAACCAGCCGTTGTACATCATCCACTTGAGCGTCGCCTTGGCCTCGGCGCCGTTGTTCTGCGTCACCCAAGCCGCAGGGATCATCCTCGAGTGGATGTTGACGCCCGCCTGCCCCGTCGCGTCGGTCTCGGCGCCAAAGGTGCGGCAGGCGACGCTGGAGCTGTCGCGGCACCCCACTGTGCGCGACGCCCAGTAGCTGTCGAACTCGGTCAGGCTGATCGTCACGTACTGCTGCTGCTCCGCCGTGAGCCCCGCCCGCCACTCGCGCAGCGCGCCGACGAACGTGGCCTCGGCCTCGCTCGCCGTGCCACGAAAGTACAGCACGACGATGGACGAGAGAGTCCAGTAGCCTCCCGACCACTCGCGGCCGAGCGTGGGCGACGTCTCGACCCAGAAGTCGAGCCAGCTCTCGATGACGGGCGTGCGGCTCTCCCAGGTGGCCCAGGTGATGTCGTCGATGCTCATTGAGAGCGCCGCCACGGCCGATGACGCGTGTGTGCGGTGGTAGGCGGCAGTCACGACGCCGAAGGCGCCGCCGCCGCCGCCGCGCAGCGCCCAGAAGAGGTCGGGCTCCGAGCATGCGTCAGCCGTGCGCAGCACGCCGTCGGCAGCCACCACCTCGAAGGCCACGACGTTGTCGATCCCGTAGCCAAAAGTGCGCGAGAGGGCGCTCAGCCCGCCGCCCATTAGCCAGCCGCCGGCCGCGGCGACCGTGAGACCGCCGCCGCCGACGATGTCACGCCCGGCATCGCCGACCACCGGGTACGCCTCGCCCCACACCTGCCCGCCGCCCACCTTGAGCACCTGCTCGGTCGCGGTGCCGCAGCTGTCCGTGTGAGTGGCGATCGTGCCGAACTTTTCGAACTCGGCCATCCAGATCAGCAGCGAGCCCTTCATCGCACTGCTCCCCGCGTACGAGTGCCCGGACGTCTTGACTGAGACGCTCAGGTCATGCGTGCTGGCAAACTCCAGCGCGGCCTGCACGTCGGCCACCGTGGCGGCCGCCACCGAGTAGGCGGGAAGATTGACGAGGCCGTCGCCGGCGCACGCCTCGAACTTGCAGTGGTTGTCCTGCATACACGCGCCGTGACCCTCCTGCATCAGGCCGATTGCGTTCGTGTACTGCTCGTAGCAGACGTCGTAGGACTCCTCCGCGAGCGCAGTGAGCGCCGAGGGCCCTTGGCTGAGGGACTCGGCCAACCGTTGCCAGTCTGCGTTGGACGGCCAGCAAGACCTCCCCGGCACGCAGTACGACGACGGCGATTCGAGCATGCGGCGCTGGACAATGTCCGATCCCGTGGCGTCGCCCACGAGGTCCCGGCCCTCGGCAAGCACGAGCCCCGCCAAGCAGAGACCGAAAGCGACCATGTCGGGATTTGAGTCGCTGTCGCGCCTCGATGTCGCTGTCGCTTCTGCTTCAGGTTGGCGCCGTGCCGAAGCTTTCTGTTGATTTTGCACTGGCACCGCGGCACTTGCACCCCCAAAGGGCGTGCAATTGGCGTGCCACACCCGCACGACGGGTTTCTTTTTCCAGTATTACCGGAATCTTCTGTCAAGGTGTCCAGTCCGAGCCTGACTGTTCTTCACCTTCCTACATACATACATACAGGAAGGAAGATCAGGGGTAGGGTGGAGAACGTGGGGGCGAGGCAGACGGCGGCGGCTGCGACGGCGATGCCGAGGGAGGCGGTGGCGACGCGGCGACACGGAGGGCGGCGGCTGCGGCGAGGCAGGAAGCCACAGAAACGTACAATTGGAAGGCTCGGCACTCTCACGGGACGGCGAGACACGCGCACGGTAGTACGTGTAACACGAGCAAGTCGGCCGGCAGCGGCACGTCGCCGCGCTGCGAAAGCAGGAGCATGCACCGCACGAGCGCTCGCGCGCCGGGGTGGAAGAGGTGGTGCGTGCTTGGGCACCACACGATCTCTTGCAGGACGCGCCGTGGCAGCAGGCTGCGCGCGACCTCCCCCAGATCACGCACCTCCGCGACGGGATCGTTCGCAAGCCGCAGCGCAGCCTCCGCCACGAGCGCATGAGGTGCAGCGCCGCCCGCGGCACGGCGCAGCGTCTCAGCTTCCTGCCTCGTGAGCGTGGCGTCGGTGCGCACGCGCGCGTCGAGTGCCTCCTCGAGGTAGAGGCGCGAGGATGGCGTCTCGAACGGAGCCACGTCGAAGGCGCCGTGGCCAACCGCCTCCAGCACCGTGGTTAGCATCACCGCGCCCACAAAGCGCAGGTGGGCCGACGGGTGGCTCAGCATTCCGAGGTACATGTGCCACGTCTCGCCCGGCCGGAGGTAGCCCGTGCGCTGGAGGTGGCGGCGCGAATTGCGCTCGAGCACGGACGAGAGCGAATGCACCCAACGGCTCGCCTCGCCGTCAGCAGTCGGGTACAGTCGGCGCAACCACTCGGCGGCTGCCCGCGCGAGCTCCGGTCGGTCGAGGCAGTACGCAAACGAGCAGACGGTGTAGCACGCGCGAAATTGGATCTTCAAATAATGAGCTCGGGTCTCCCTCAGGATCGTCGAGCACCACGCGACGATCTCGTCGGCCCGAGGGGCGAGCAGCGGGCGCAGCGTGGCGGTGCCCCGGAGGGCGACGCGCATGAGGGCCCCGAGCGCCATCTGCTTGAGCCACGAGTGGCACGCCGGCGAGGCCAGCGCGTCGCACGCGCCGTCGATGAGCTTAGGGCTAATCTCCGCATCCGTCAGGTAGTATACGTGGTTGTGCAACACCCACAGCCAGGATGGCGTAGTGGCGAACGCCTGTGGGCGGCTGGCGAGCCGGCCAAGAGCCGTGGCAAGGCCGCGAGCGCACACGACCAGCCGCTCCTCGTGTGTCTCCGTGATGTGTCCGATGAGGCGCACGACGCGGTCGTCTTCCATTCTGCGCAGGAGCTGGTCCATCACGTCAGTCTCAAAGAGACTGGTGCGCAGGCCGCGCTCGTGCGCCTCGTCCCGCTCGGGGTCGGACCAATGGCCGTCGAACCGCGCGAAAAGGCCTTCGAGTACCTCGGGCGTGAGGTTGACGTGGCGGAGAGAGTGGCGCGGCTCGAGCTGCAGGCTGCTGAGCCGGGGGGTCGCGAACTCCATGGATATCATCGCTTTTCTTTTCTTCTTGTGTGAGGATCTTCTCCATTATTTTCTTGCGTGTGTGTGTTTTAGTGCGAAGAAAAAAGAAAGAAAGAAAACAGACAACCCAAGGGAGGGATGGGAGGACGGCACGCCGCCACCACACAGGGATTTTAAGGAGAGGTGTGTGGTGCGCTATCCGTCGCCCACCCTAGGGAGTCTGCCTCTTCCTATCTCTCTTCGCAGTCTGTGCCAGTGTGCTGTGAGAGAGGCGGCTCAAGAATTCTTCCTGGCGATGTCCACCCCGCCGCGCCGCCGCTCGCGCCGCCTCGCCCCCACCGCCGCCGCCGCTCCCTCGCCAGACACGCCGCCGCCCGCCCGCCTCCTCGACCTCCCCACGGACCTCCTCGTGCGCGTCGTCTCTCGCTGCAACCCTCCCGACATCGCTCGCGCCGCGGCCGTCTCGCTGCTCTTCCACTCCTCGCTTGCGGCGGAGGGCATCCGCTTGTGGGCGCGCGAGCGCGGCTTCGAGCTTCCCGCGCAGCCAGAGGGCGAGAGCTGCGCCGTGCGGTGGCTGTGCTTTGCGGCCTTGCTGTGCGAGTCCAACCCGCCCGCGAGGGCGGCGGCAGGCCAACGGCACAGCGTCTTCATTGATGGCGAGGGGCGGCTCTCGTCGTGCGGCTCAGAGCAGTACTCCTTCCTCCCAGGAGGATCAGCAGCGAGCTCCTTCCTCGGCCACGGCGAAGGTGTGGCGCGGCTTAACACACCTGCCCGCCTCCCGTCGATGCTGGGCGGCGAGCGCGCCGTGAGTGTGTCGTCTGGAAGCGCGCACAGCCTGGCCCTCACCGCCGCTGGCGCCGTCTGGAGTTGGGGCTACGGAAGCCAAGGCCGGCTAGGCCACAGTGACTGGCAGGCCCAGTGCCAGCCGAAGAAGATCGAAGGCTTTGCTGGCCAGCGCGTCGTCGCAGTGTCGGCTGGAGCACTCCACAGCCTCGCCATCTCCGCCGACGGCGCCGTCTGGAGCTGGGGCTTTGGGGCCTATAGCCAGCTAGGCCACGGCGACCAGCAGAACCAACTGCTGCCGAAGAAGGTCGAGGCCTTAGCTGGCCAGCGTGTCCTCGCTGTGTCGGCTGGCTTTAGCCACAGCCTCGCCATCAACGGCGACGGCTCCGTTTGGAGCTGGGGCTGGGGAGCCTGTGGCCGGCTGGGCCACGGCGACCAGCAGGACCAGCCGCTGCCCAAGAAGGTCGACGCATTTGACCAGCGTGTCGTCGCCGTGTCGGCTGGAATGCACCACAGCCTCGCCATCACCGCCGACGGCGCCGCCAGGAGCTGGGGCCGTGGAGTCTTTGGCCAGTTGGGCCACGGCGACCAGCAGGACCAGCCGCTGCCCAAGAAGGTCGAGGCGTTGGCGGGGCAGCGCGTCATCGCCGTGTCGGCTGGAATCGCGCACAGCCTCGCCCTCACCGCTGACGGCGCCGTCTCGAGCTGGGGCAAGGGAGCCTCTGGCGAGCTGGGCCACGGCGACCAGCAGAACCAACTGCTGCCGAAGAAGAACGAGGCCTTGGCTGGGCGGCGCGTCGTAGCTGCGTCGGCGGGAGGCGATTACAGCATCGCCATCCTCTGCGATGATGCCGTCTTCACCTGGGGCCAGGGCCCCCACGGCTGCCTAGGCCACGGAGAGGACCTGTCGAACCAGCTGCTGCCCAAGAAGGTCGCGGCGTGGGCGCCGGGCCAGTGAGGCAAGGCAAGATGCATGCACATGCACACATCTCCACGCGCGGCCACTGCCGCTGCAACGGACGGCGGCCAGGGGGGCAGAGGAAAGGGAGAGCAAAAGGGTCGCAGCAAAAGCGGGATCCAGCGGTGTGTCCACATTGTGTGTCCGGTCGAGGCTCGAGGGAGGCCCCAGGTCTTGTGCAGGGGCTGGCGGCTGCCGATAAAATCCGTTCGCATGTGTAAGGACTCAAAGTCGGGGCGAGCGATATAGAGAGTGGCGGGGTCATGTAGGCGCGCGAACGAATATTAGTTAGTGGATGATGATGCAAACGCAAACTCGTACTCAAGCTCATCCGCTCATCCCTCTCCCGTCCCACCCTGGTCCCTCTTGCGCTCGCACGTCTCTGACTCGCGTCATACATGCGCATCTCCGTCTCCCCCGCACTCCACCCCCCGCGCAGCGCCGCAGAGGGTGGCGCTGCCGGATGCCCCAGAAGAAGAGCTCCATACTCTCAGACGAGGAGAGTATCCACAGACATGGCCTGAAACATGGCTCTGGGGGGAGGCGGGGGCCCCCGGAGGCACCGTGCGCCGCGCCGCAGTGCGGAAACGGGGCCCCGGCTCTACTAGTCTCTACTAGCACCGACTTCCCGATTAAGCTAGGTTAATCAGAGGGCAGATTTGGAGAGATCTCGAGGAGTACATACAGATAGACCCTCCAACCATCAGAAAACTCCGACCTGATCGGTCGTACTGACCGCCGACAGATCACTCCAGACAGCAGACAGGCCGACGTCTGCACGTGGCCGGCCGGGCGAGAGGCTTGACACGATCCGACCCTGCGACCCTGACGCTGCTGCTCTAGCTATCAGACAACTGCTGACTGCTGCCACAATGTGTGACCGGTGCTGGCCCACTTGGCGGCCTTCCCGGTCAGTGGTGAGGCGCAGTTCAGAGCTGTCGATGGCGCGATGCCGCACTGGTCCCACATTGGTGACACGAGACCACCACGTTTGCCGGTCCAAGAGAGAGGCACTGGCGCTGTCCTGAGAAAGTGCATGGTCCCTCTTGACTGCCCATGCGCGCGAGGCTGTGTAGGCATAGCCTCGAGAGTGCCAGCAGCCAGTCGCCGAGGCAGTCTGTGACGCGCATTGCGTCAGAAGCGTGCACACGATAGAAGGACACCTTCCTACTGACCGTAGGATCAGGTCGTCACTGAATGCTTGATACTAAGGCCGCGAGCTATGCAGGTGGTCAATTGTGCAGCATGGCACGGTCAGCAGCGCCGACAGGCTGTCGCAAGGCGTGATAGCATGGCCGCAAGTACAGCGAATTCCCATGAAACAAGTAAAAAATCGCGCAAAAAAGAAAAAAAAGTCCCAAAAAATCGGCGCCTGCGGCGGGCCATGGGACCCCATCTCCCCCCCGCATGGATACCCTCCAGGGCCCCCGCCTCCCCCCAGAGAAACATGGCCCATTGTCCTGACCTCGCGCGCCACGCCGCGTGTCTTCAGGCTACCGGGGACGCCGCTTTGTCGGTCCGCGACGCAGGAGAGAGAATCTCGACAATGGATTGCAGCGCGTTTGGCGCCTATGGAGCAGCAGGCAAGCCGTGACGCGGGAGGGGAGAGAGAGAGAGAGAGAGAGAGAGAGAGAGAGAGAGAGAGAGAGAGAGAGAGAGAGAGAGAGACGCCCCACCTCCTCGCTTGGCGGCGGAGACGGCCCGAGGCGGCGATGCAACGCCCTTCTCACCTCGTCCGAGGAAGAGATCGACTCGGCCCCCGCGCGCAAGGGCGCGTCCGGCCTAAGGCCAAGGCAACGTCCGGTACTCCTTGCTCCCCGCCGCTGGTGAGGGGGCAGACAACCTTGACATCGCGGAAAGAATTTTACAAGAACGGTCACGGGTCAAGGGCGCTGGAAGAATTCTTACAGTCTCACAGCACACTGGCACAACAGGGGCGCACTAACTGGCGCAGACTAGCACACACACCGGCACACCACCGGCTCGAGACCACCGGAGAGCCTAAGCGACTCCATTAAGAAAGAATCTAACGGCAATGCACAAGAATCGGCACGGCCTGCACATGCAGCGTTTGTATATCGTTCTCCACACCGCCGTGGCGTGGCAGACGGTGAACGAGCTAGCATGCGGAGAGAGCGGCATTGTGCACGGAGCAGAGTGCACTTGGTCGACCTCGTGCTTCCTCCCGCTGGTGATTTTGTGTTAGCCTTGTGTCTTAATATGCCAATAACATACTCGAGTACCCGAAAAACGAAAGGGATTGATTGGCGAACGCTGCCGGCTGTAAAGAAGCCCCTAGGAGAGAGAGAGCTTTTGTGTTGTTGGTGTGCGCAATAACGGGACAGGGTAGTCGTTCTCTCTAGCTCCCCTTCTAGCTCTTAGCATGAGCTGCGCCCTGTGTCCGACCCCTTTTGCGCAGCAACACCTTAAACTTTTAGGCCCTCCAAATTCGGGTCGGAGCGTAGCGGAGTGGGCCCCGAGTTTGAAAAGGGCGACGGACGCTTGTGTCCTAGCCTCCAACAACGCCTCCCCGGCGCAGAGGGCCCCCCGGAGGGATGCACAACCGCTCCACGCCACGCCGCTTGCGGCGGTCCTATTCCCAGCTCCGCTGCGGCTCGCGCGTTATTCTTCTTCTTGGGCCTCTATAGGCCGTGCGTGGAGCTGGCGGCAAGAGCAGACAGGCCCGGCTCGGCCTCCGGATGCTGTGGAGCGTCACGATGTCTGCTGCGATGTCGCTGGCGCCCACGCCACGAAGACTCGACGCCGTGCTGTTCGACATCGACGGGACCCTTCTCAACTCGGACGCGCTGCACCTCGCCGTCTTCCAGGACGTGCTACAGGAGGAAGGCTTCAACGGCGGCGACAGGATCGACGAGGCCTTCTTCATGCGGCACATCTCAGGCCGCCAGAACGCTCAGATCTGCGCAGCTCTCTTTCCTGACTGGCCTGTCGACAGAGGCGTGGCCTTCTCCGCTCGCAAGGAGCAGCGCTTCAGGGAGCTCGCCGCCGCGAAGCTTCCCGCGCTCGTCACGCCGGGCCTGCACGCGCTTTGCGCCGCGCTGGCCGCGCAGGGCGTGCGTTGCGCCGCCGTGACCAACGCGCCGAGGGCCAACGCAGAGCTGATGCTCGGCGCGATCGGCGCCGTGGCGGGCAAGGAGAGCCTCAGCTTCTTCTCGCCGTTGATCATTGGCGACGAGTGCAGCCACGCAAAGCCGCACCCGGAGCCCTACCTCGCCGCGATGCGCCTCCTCGGCGTAGAGGCGGAGAACTGCCTCGCGTTTGAGGATTCGCCGTCCGGCGCCGCCGCGGCCGTGGCCGCAGGCACCCAGACCGTCGGCATCACGTCGACGCAAACCGCCGAGAAGCTCGAGGAGGCGGGCTGCAGCATCGCGATCCGCGATTTCGAGGACCCGGGACTCGCAGCACTGCTGCGAGACACATGGACATTGCGCGCCGCGCTGCTATGACACTCGAGGTACACGCCTTGATTTAAATATGATACAATCTCCACCGCATCTGGTGGCACTTATCCTCAGACATGCTGTGGCTGCTGCGGCGGGCTGCGGCATCGCTCCGACTGGGGCGATGCCCGGGATAAGGGGATTTCCCTGGTGTTGTGCTGCTCGCTCAGGCACCGCCCACTGACCATGTTGGTCGACGGTGGGTGTACGTACGTACTTTTAGCTTACTGGGAGAAAAGAGAGAGGGGGTTGTGTTCTCTAGGCCCCTAGGGGCCCTACGCGCGGCGTGAGAGCTCGGAAGCGAGCTTAGCACGGCGATCGAGGATGGCACGGTTCACCCCCTTCACCGAAGCGATGGAGATGCGTTTACCATGTTCAAACTCCGCACTTTAATTCGAACTTTCTCGCCTCGGCTCGTGGGGCTCGGGAGTAGTCAAGCAGGTGTGCGGGGTGGGCGGGAGGGGGCCTGGGAGCATTTTTTTGCATTTCCGAGGCGAGCGTGGGCCGTGGTGGGCCCCTCCGGGCCTCTCTCAGCAGCACGGAAAGTAGCGCGCGACAGAGCGCTGTTCTCGGCCCCCTGAGCGTATTGGGACGAGCCAGACTAGCATGCACATCGCCTTGGCACGTAGGACGCACGACTTACCCACGCACACCCCGGTGACAATCTTGGAAATCTCCCGACAATCTCCCCAAATCTCCTCCCGCTCTCGCGAGTAGCGCGGCGCAGCGGGGCGCGTTGATGTCGATGAATGCAGTGTGGACTCCTTTTCGACACTCTCTAGCACCGGTGAACACACAGGCGTTGCTTCCGAGGTGGTAAAAATCTGTGAATGCCCGCCGAAGTTGTCGCGGTTTTCCGACTATCTCGTGCTCGAGCCATGCCGAAAAGAGCGGGCGCAGGCCTGGGACAGCGTCGCAAAAGCGGCCAAGGAGTCCGTCCCGGCTCCAGGCCAGGACCAGATCGCCGCTCGGTACCGCCAGTTTGCGACTCTGTGCCTGCGCAGTCGTCGCTATCTCACGCTTCCGATCTCGTCACAACAGGCGCCCTCGCCGAGTGCAACGTCCTCGCGGCCGCAAAGCCGTGCTGGCTCGCGCAGAGTCGGCGTCGCAAAGAACCTGAGAGCACCGCGGCATGCTACGGTTGGCGACGTCCTCGGCGAGGCCATGGAGCTGCATAGCACGAGCGACGAGGGCCGCCGCGACGGGATCTACAACCAGAGAGAGCACGGACGCCGAGGATCGCTCTCCCGTGCAGCGCCGCAGCGGCTCGTCGGCGGCTCGTCGGCTGCGGCCTCGAACGGAGATCGCATGGAGGTTGACGAGGAACCTCCCTCTCTGAGCAGTGCTCCAGCGGAGCCTGCGCAGCAGCAGCAGCAGCAGCAAGCAAGCGTGCTCACGCTGGTGGCAGACATCGGACGCCTCGAGCTGGAGGAGGTTGGCCACCGTGCCGCCGCTCGCGAAGCGATTACAGCGACAACCGGGACGCAAACATCAGGCGTGCCGACGCCTCGCGAGCTGCGTGCCCAAGCCCGGCTCGACTTGCAAGTCGTAGGGCTGCGCGAGGAGGAGCGGCGGCGGCAGCGGCTGCACGCGGCGGCAACGACGAGGCTCGTTCGAGAACTGGCGCTGAAGTTTTCGAACCCGCTGCGACACTTTGGCGGGGGTGCATTCATTCAGTTGATGATGTGCGAATTCGTCATGCGGCCAGAGGTACAGGGCCGCTCCGGCCGCTCCCTCGGCGTAGCGTTTCGCTCGCAGCTGCTGCTGGTGTACGAGCCCAGCGACGTGCCGACGCTCCCGGGCCTCTACAGCCTCGACGTCTTGCAGGCGTCGCTCAACACTCCGCTGTTGCAGCGGGCCGCCCTGCAGGCGATCGACGACGTGAAGCTCTTCTCGCTCCACCTGCCCGGCGTGCTCGGCAAGGTGGAGCCGACAGAGGCCGACTCGCTCCTCGGCCTGTGGCAGCGCGCGGCGGAGGTGCGGGCAGCGGAGGCGCGCCGGCCGCAGCGCGGCCGGCCACGCCATCGCGTCGAGTACGCGCTGCGTCAAAACATGACGGGTAATCGTTACTCGGCCGCCCTGCGCAAGGCCGTGTACTTGTACCGCCACAAAAGCGGTACGGAGCGCTCAATCTCGATGCGCGGCGCTGCGTCGCTCGCTCGGGATGGCGCCACGCTCCTGTTCCACATCTCGGACGACGATATCGCACGCGTGCGGCTGCCGAGCGCGGGCACGTGCTCCCTCATCGACCGGGCCGTCCACCGGGTGCAGCGCATGCAAGAGGTGGAGTTCACCTTCTCGCGCGTGACCTACTTCGTCGGCCGACTGCACGCTAAAGGCTACACGCTCGCACACCACTTGCAGAGTGGCTCTCCCGGGCGCTCAGCCCACGGCGGAGGCACGCCAGGCCCCGGGCAGCCGGCCGTCACTCGCCTAAGCGCCCGCTAAGCGGCCTAAGCGGGGGGGTGCTTAGGGTGCTTAGGCGCTTAGGCGGCCCTTGCGAGCGTGGCGGCGTGGTGGTATCGTAATACAAGTGACTCCGATGACACACATGATGCTCTTGCTAGTGTCATTGCTCAGAGAGCAGCCTCACCGCGTCGAAAGTCTACCACTGGCCCTGGTCGCACACCGCCGCTGAGCTGTGATGATGCCCACAGCACCAGCAGCAAAGGCGGGCGGGCCGACCCCGCGGCCATCGCCGCCGCTGCCGCCTCCTCCGCCGCCGGCGCCGCCCCCTCTGCCGTCGCCGTCACCTTGGGCTGCATCACCCGCGCCGCCGCCGCGCACCGGCTCGTGCTCATTCAAAGGCGCCTCGAGTTGCAGGCCAGCGGCGCTGACGTTGTCGTGGTCGGGCTGCCCAACGTCGGCGCGGGAGGGAGGGGGCAACGCCGTTATGAAGAGCGCGAGAGCGAGCGCCGACGGCCCAGATTCTGAGCAGCAGCCCGCCTGGTCATGGGCCACTTGCCTACGTGCGTCCAGCTTCCACTATAGGACGAACGTCGAAGTTTGCTCTCCGACGCCGTGCCGAGCGAAACCTTTTCCTTCGAAGCCCGGCGACGTAGCCGGGCGAGCGGAATAGGGCAGCCCTAGAGAGCACCTTGAGGCCATTCAATAGAGCCCGTACTATAGTCGAGAGTCGATCGCCGGCCCGCGCAGTGCTGCTCTGACCGCTCCGCCGGGCCGCCTCCGGGCCGCCGCGGCGGAGACGTGCACATAGGCAAGTTGGTATTTTCATATATGAACTTCAAAATAGTATTGGCTAGTCTAATTCTACTCATCACAACTCGCCAGGAACACCCACACACTATAGGGTCATTGTGTAGCCCTGCTTAGAAGGAAAAGGTTTTCTGCAAGGTCCGTATGCCTTACCGTGTAGTCGGCCCGTCGCCTTCGACCTCGGCTCCCGCTCTCGGAGAGGGTTCATAGCGGGACACCTCGGAGCAACTCGCCCGCACGACGGGCTCCGTGAGGTCTCCTGCTTCGCCTCGCACCTCGGCAAGCAAAAGACCGCTGCGGTAATCGCCAGGGAGACGCTGCGGTCGGTCAAGGCGACGGGCGCGCCGCTCGAGCTGTTGCACTTCATTTGCTCGGACAACGACAACACGATGAGCGGCCGACACGCAGGCGTGCACAAGCAGCTCTGCGAGCTCATCGAGGCGGACACGGGCGGCGGCCACTGGCTGATTACGCGCATCCCGTGCCTCTCTCACATCGGCCACAACTCGGGGCTGCAAGCCCTCCGCTCACTCGGGCCGCTCACGCGGGCTCCGGGCCTGCTCCTCTCCCGGCTCTCGCAAAGAGGTAGCCTCATCGCCGCTCCGGATCGCGTCCAGAGCACGTAGCGCCTCGCCCGCCAAAGCTTGCCCGGCCTCGGCGGGCAGCAGCTCTTCCACTCAACGGCATGCGGCGGACTTGCACGGCGATGAAGACGGCGAAGGCAAAAAACAACGCCTTCGTCGCACAGCGCCGAAACGACGTGCGCACGCTGTTACGTCTAGCCTATGTCCAGCGCCAACTGCCGCACACAGGCTCCGCAACGCTGACCGCCTTTGGCGCAGCGGCGGAGCAGGAGCCTGCCGAGGACACAGACTCGGACTTTGAGATGTTGACCTAGACCGACGTGTGATTCAGATAGTTGTCTTCAGATGTGTGTGTGATTCAGATGTGTGTGCGTGTGATTTTCGGCACGGGTATAGATTAGAAGGAACGTATCGTCACACACACCCTCTTTGAGAGAGGGACACAGCGTGGTGCACAGTAGCGGGCTAGCTTCTACAGAGGCAACCGGTCCGAGGGCGAGCGTTGCGCTCGCCCTGATGCGCATGAGCGACGTGGAAGCTCCCGACCGTCGCAGATGCCACGGGCGACACCAATCCCAGCCTCAAAAGGCGAGGAGGGCTGGTGGAGTGCCCAGACGGCAGTGGCTTCCGAAGAACTTTTTGCGGGTGACGCAAAGGATCCGAGGAGAGAGCACCTCGGCTGCCGGCGAGGCATCCGCCCCGCGCCCACACATCTGATGGAAAGTGCGAAGAAGCGGTGGCGGCAGGCTAGCCACCGGTGGGGCACACGGAGCGATATGGCGTTCGGCTGCGATTTGAGTGCAACCGGGTGACGCATCTCCTCCACAGAGACGCGGGGACGGCGTGCCTGCGAGGCGCCCGATATGCGCCAACGGACCCAATGGAAAGTGCGAAGCGAGCACTCGACGGCTCGCAGCCTGTGGACGGAGCACGAGAGCTCGAACCTCGCACTCTCGTGCAAAATCGGCACCTCGGAGCGCCTTTTTCACACCGCATTCGAGCCCATGAAAACAACAATGTACCCCAAGCAGCACGATCACGCCTCGCACCGGTGCGGTGGTGCCGGGCGGCTCTAGGGGGTCAGGCTGGCTGCATGGCACCACCCGTAGCCCGTTTTGCTGCCCTGGCATCACCCGGAGGGGGGATTTGAACATGGTATGCGTTCCGCGTGGTGTGACACAAATGAGAGGCGGGAGTGGGGAGGGTACGCGGTGCGGTCAACGCCCGAGCGTTGAGCCTTGCGCGCAAGGCGGTTGATCTTCTCTCTCCTCATCTTCTCTCTCTCTGGGTGTATGCTGTTGAGCGTGTGGCTGCGCGCTGGATCGTTTGTAGCTGAGCTACCATGCACAAGACCCGCACCCGCTCCCACTCCGGCGTGGGGAGTGCCAGGCGGGGCGGCGAGCGGAGATGGAGAGGGCGGTGCTTCGTTGTTGCGCGAGAGCGGTGAGAGCCAGTCTCCGAGGTCGTCTTGCTCCATAGGATTCGAACAATACGAAGGATCCCAAAACACACGAAACGAAGGGACGCACGGACTAATTGATATACGAAACTAATCGGCGGTTATTATTAGCATCCAACGGAGCGCGTGAATGGGCTACCCGTAGTGGGGTAGGCGCAAGACACGAATCGGCGGCATTAACTTGCGCAACCACTCTCGGGCGCAGCGAGTGAGGACCAGCGTGCAGCGAGCCGCCGACGCGTCGGCCGTGAAGAAGCTCAAAGGGTGCAGCAATTCTCGCAGCGACCTTCATGCCACCTCGCGTTCTTCCCACTCTCGTCGTTCTCTCTCCTGCTGTCTCTTCCTCTGACTCATCGCTCCTCGGCCTCGTTCTGAGACGCCGTTGTTACTATCGAGGTCTCGGGAGTTTTGCCGCTCGCTTTCTGTTAGTTCCGAACCGGCCTCTCACGCTCTCACCTCTCACTGCCGGACCGGCCTGATACGGTGGGACCGCAGCGCACAGATCAACGCACGCACGCATGCGGGCACCGAGCGCGGTTGTCATCGCCACCATGAGCATTCTCTACGAGCATGCTGCCGCGTACAACTCCTTGTTCATCGGGCACAGCTTCTTCCGTCCAATCGCGGAGAAGATGCCAGCGCTAGCCTCGGCTGCCGGACTGAACCACAGTCAAGCCATCGTGTTTAGCGGCGGCGCAACAGGTGCGCCATTGGCTCTCTGGAACTCGGACTCCATGCGGGATGAGATTCAGTCTATCCTTGACTGGGGCAACATTACGCTCTTCGGCATGACATTCGACCACACGGCTGAGGGTTGCGAGCTCTGGATCAACTACGCGCTTTCAAAGAACCCGAATCTCGACACGTTCATGATCGGCCTCCCATGGCTAGATTATCCGACCGAGTACGACACCGACAGCTACACATCCGTGGTGCGTAACGCGGCGCAAACCAACTGGACGGACTTCTTGGAGGAGCTCCGCGGCAAGTACCCGAATGTCACGATCATCGACAACCCCTACGGGCTGTCGGTTGTCGAGCTCCGTATCTTGCAGAGCGCAGGCAGCGTTCCCGACGTGACCGCCATGACCGGCCTCGCCGCAACCTCTCTTTTCACAGACTACAAGGGACACGGAGGCGACATCCTCAAGGACACAGCCTCGTTGGTTTGGCTGGATCGCATCTACCACGTGGGATGTGGCGACCCTGCCATCGCCGCCCTGTTCACCGGGTACATGACCGACGTCTGCTCGGTCGCGGCGTCTCTTTTGGGCGCCTACGATGCCGGGAGTGTTTGCGGGAGTAGTGCCTGCTACACAGCACCGCCGCGCCCACCGACAAGCCCGCCGACGGCCCCGTTGCCACCACTGCCGCCGCCGCCACCTCTCAATGTCGAATCGTGCCTCGCGGCGCTCGACGAGCTTGTCGCCCCCTGGATCACCGAGGAGACGTGTCTGGACATCGCTGCGGCAGAGCAAAGCGCGCTCTACGATGCAGTGTGCTCGGCGCAGTTCGTTCGCGACCAGTGCAAAATGCCGTCAGAAGGCCAAGCGCGTGAATGTGGCCACGCGCTTCTCGGCGCATGCCCGACGTGGGGCAACACTGACCAGTGCTACGCGTGCGCCCAAGGCAACGCCGCTGCACTTGCAAACGATTGCACCCGATCTCTAGTGGTCGATGCGTGCCGACAGCTCAACTCTTATGAGCTGCGAGATTCGCTGGAGCTCACGGCTGGCTCGCCACCCGCAGCGCCGTGGTCAGCACCTCCGCTGCTTTCGCCAAGCCCTCCTCCCTTCTTCGCCGACGCCGGTAACGGCGCCATGCTTGGCATCATCATCGGCGGTACGATCGCTGCCCTGCTTCTTGGCGGCGCAGCCGTCTATTTCCTCGTTAGGCTATTTGTTTAAGACGGCGGCCGCCTTCCGTCAAGAGCGACAAATAGAACGCTGCCGTGGCCAACTGGCATGCTCCCAAGCGAATCGGGGAGAACCGGAGCCCCGGGAGGACGGACGGTGGAACCCCGGGACCGGGGACTAAGCAAGTGTCTGTTTGTTCGTGGTGTACAGTGTAATGTCCACTAGCTCCGAGTAGAGGGGGCAACCTGCAGTTGTGTTCACTAGCGGAGTGATGTCTTGTAGGAACCGATTGTGTTCACTAGCAGCGGGCGATGTCTTGTCTGTTTGTTTATTACTTTGTGGCTGGGCTGTACCAGTTTGCAATTGCATTGGATGTGCATGTGCATGTGGCGTGTGCCGAGAGGGAGAGGGTGGGGCGCGCTCGCGCGCGAGCTTTCCCAGAGCAACAGTTAAGGGGAAACCCGGTACGCGGGTCCAACCCTCGGAGAACCGTGTTTACTTTACATTATGGCACATCCCGACGCATATGTGATGACGTAGCAGTTATTCAGATCGAAGTCGAAAACTCGAGCATCGTCGAGAAGCTATTGTGGGTTTGTGACATACTCGTGATGTGTGAAGCTGAAGGCTGAAGCGATTTTTAAGAGTCAAGCGCTTGCGCGAAATCCCACACTGGTGGGATTTGGGGCGTGTGCTACCCTCTAGCTCTTCTCTGACTCGTTCCGCACTCAACAATAATCAATATCCTCGCCGCCTCGATCCCCCACAAACGAACACCTACAAGCACGGCGCGCCCACGCCCGCGCGCGCTACGCCTGCTTGGCCGCCAGCCCAAAGGGCAGGCCGCCGCCGCCGCCGTCCCCCTGCCCCTTCGCCGCGGTGAGCTTGCCCACCGCCGCCGCGCTCAGCGCCTGCTCGACCACGCCCGCAAAACCCGCCCGGGGGCCCGGGCTGTCCCGCATCGGCAGTACGGGCATGATGTACTCTATATTTGCCGCCTGCATGTATGCGTGGCAGAAGAGGAGCAGCCGCGACTTGGCCGCGTAGATGGCCATGATCTCTTGCGCGGCGTACACGCTCGTCGGCCAGATGTTGAGGAGCAGGTTCCCCCTTGTCGAGCGCGGCCTCGCCAAACTGGTTGTCGCACGCGCTCCAGTCGCCCGACCCGTCCGAGACGTACGAGGTGATCGCCTCGAGCAGCTCGTTGATCTTGCTCGACTGCGTGGCGACCGGCACCATCAGCTAGACGAGCAGCGTCAGCTTGCCCGAGCACTGCCGCCGCAGCGGCAGGGGGGGGGGGGGGGAGCGACTCAAAGGGGCGATGCAGAGGGCGGTGAGTGTGCGAGTACCAACTTGGGAGCGGGCGAGACGCACCTCCCACGTGCAGCCGCACGACTCGCAGCGGCATGGTGGCAGCCCGTTCCACGCCGGATCGGGGCTACGAGGCCGCAAGCGGGGCCCGAGCCGTCGTTTTCGTACTCGTAGTTCGTGTTGAGGTCGGTGGAGTCCGGTACGAGACACCTAGTAGGACGCGAGCAGATCCGCATATGCATAATTACGCTTCAACCGAGAACGGAAGTCCGATAGCGGCTTGGGCAGCGACGCACCGTTGCACATCTCGGCGTCCGGATCCGGCATCTCGGCTTGTCGTTGAATTCTTTTGGGGTCACGTCAGGGTTCCGGCTCCTACCCGGATAGGCCCGGATAGGGGGTCTGTTGCCTCTGTAGACTCGCGCCAAAACGCCCTACAATAGGTGGGTACCCAGCTCGGCCTCGCTCGACCATCGCTAGTCTTGATGTGGCTCCTGAGCTTGCTGGCTGCTTTCAGCCTGCCGTCGCCGCCCGCCGCCACTCGCCGCCAGCTCCTGAGTCGGGCTGCTGCCTCTCTTCTTGGCGAGAGCCGCCGCCATGTCTTGCCTCTCTCGCCACGTGCACCCTTGGGACGCGTCACGAAGCGCCGCTTCGATTGCCGCGGCTGTGGACGGCGAATCTTGCTGGAGAATTCGCGCGGCAATGGCGCGGTCGGCCCTGTCGTCTGCCTCGCGGGCACGCTTCGCACCGATCTTGGAGAGGAAGGCGAGAGCGAGGTGCGGCGAGAGAGTTTGCCGCAACTTCTGGATGCGGTGTTTGGTAAGAGTCTGGTTGTTTATGTCGGACGGGCCATCGCTGTTGAAGTCGAGCACGATCTTGAGGTCCGTCTCCGCGTCCGGTGCTCCGCTGCGCCGCTTCATGTCGACCAGCTCCGTCACGAGCTCGGCGACGGTATCGCCGTCGAAGAGCGTCGCATCTGATTTGCTCAGCACGAGGAGCGATTCGCGGGCCTAGATCGACAGTCGAGGGGTGAGGTGAAATAGCTCGAACGAGCAACTGCACGAGAAGAAACTGAGTAGACGACACGAGCTACTGCTCGAGAGGCAGGTACCGCATGAAGAGCGGCTACTTCCTTGATCGTTGATGAGTTGTTGTTGATTAGTTGTTGATTCTCGGTATATTGACTTCTTGACACGTTGAGATGGAACCTGAGAGCCGACAGGGTGGGTTGGGAGCGAATGTGCACGGCGGTGCCTTCGCAATGCCGGGAGAGGCGATGGCGATCGGGTCCGACTCGCGGATGCTCTTCATAGCCTCGCGAATAGCACCCTGAAGCGCGCTCGTCTCGGACGCATTTCGCCCTTCATAGATGTTGAAGATGTCGGGCGCGAGCGCCTATGGTAAGATTGGGAGATATGAGCCTGATTCGAGACGCACAGATAGCACTGCGGTTGTGCTTTTTTGAGTCTGGCAAGCTTGTGCTCGACGACCCGCTGGCACTTGCCGGGGACGACCATCCTCGAGCTCGGTTTCTTGATGTGGTTCCAGTGCTCGAAGAGCAAGCGCCTCACGAGCGCTGGTGGCCACTCGCGGGAGTTGTTAGAAAGGACGGCGGATTCGACCTAATCGCGAGCCGACGGGTGCAGAGAGCTGAGCTACATCGGGGACGATATTTAAGAGCTGACACGCCTGCTTGAAGATGTGAGCCACTGTGTCGTACTCGAGAATGGCGTTTGCGCTGGCGTCCGTCATGTTGACGTCACTGACAGCAATCGTTGTAGGTGTCGCGTTGGCATCACGAAGCTCTATTCCGACCGTCATGATGGCGATCAGCGCGAGCATTCGCACGTCTTGTGTCGGGCGTGAGCGGGCCGAGACGCAGAAGATGCAGGAGTGGCAAGGGCCCTCTTGCGTGAGGTGATCGACTTTGGGTCTTTGCATCTTTTTTGCATCGAGGCATTTTCTGCTCTTTTGGGGGCTCCTCAGAGCTGAGGAGACTGAAACCGAGTAAACGCCCTACAATAGGTGGGTACCCAGCTCGGCCTCGCTCGACCATCGCTAGTCTTGATGTGGCTCCTGAGCTTGCTGGCTGCTTTCAGCCTGCCGTCGCCGCCCGCCGCCACTCGCCGCCAGCTCCTGAGTCGGGCTGCTGCCTCTCTGCCGGCACCCGCAGCACTAGCGTTCGCCGCAGAGGCGCCGTCGTCCGTCCGCGTCAAGGGTGCGGCGGAGATGGACCTCGAGTTTTACGCCCGCGGCCTGCTCGGCTCGGGCGGCGCTCCGAGATCGGCTCCGCCTCCGCCGCCGTTGGCGGCGCGCCAGCTGGACGCGGCGCTGGCCAAGCGCTTGCTGGACGCTGCCGCCGCGGGCATCGCGCCCTCTGTGAGCGCGCCGAGCGCCGCCACTCTGCGTCAGGCCGCGGGTGCGCGCCGCCAAGCCCTCGCAATCGAGTACGATCGCGCGCTCTTTGCCGGCGCGTTTAGTGCGGCAGGCGGCTACGACACCTCCCTGGGCGGCGCGAGCGCGCTGTCGCAGCCAGAGGCGCTCCAGTACGGCTTTGACCTCTCGGCGCTCGCCCTGTTCACGCTCCTGAGCGAGGCGCGGCTGCCGCGCAAGGAGCTGGCCGCCTGCTACGCGCGTGTGGGCGAGGAGCTGCTCGTGGCGGTGGCGGCGGCCACCCCGGCCCCGCCGCAACAGGCAGCCGGTTCTGCCTCCTCCCTCTCTGAGATACTCAGGGGCGTGCGCGCGCTGCTCGACGCGCTACAGCGCGGCGGCTACCTCGCCGCCTACGCGATTGACGACGGCGACGCGGACGAGGGCCTCTGGCAGCAGCGCTCGTCGCTGAGCTCCACGCGGTTGACCGTCACCCTGACCGATTCTGCCGCCTTGCGAGCCGCGCTGTTGCTCAACGGGCGCGGCGTCTCACCCGAGCTCGCGCGGCCGCTGCTCAGCGCCTTCTTCGCGTCGCGCGGCGCCGAGGTGACCGAGCAGAGCGACTTCTTTCTCGACGGCGAGTACCGCGAGAACCCAAAGGAGTACCGGCCCACCCAGCAGCTGCTCTCATTCACCATCGCCCCGAGCGGTGCCCCGAGGTAGACGAGACTCGAGAGGGAGAGTACAGCGCTGTAATAAAAGAGAGCCTAGAAAAGTTTGTCCGTAGTGCTGGAATGGAATCATCGGCCGGCCGCCGTACGCAGTGGTACTTTCGACTCGGCGTCCGGAGAAATGGGAGCTTTTTTTCACGTGAGTCGTGAGCGGCGCGCGTGTGCCGCACCCGCAGAGCCGCCTCACCCCCAGTGAGAGCACACACTATACTTTATAAGTCTCGATATATCGCTCTCTGTGTATCCTCCTCGTAGTCCCTCAAGTACAAGGACCGCTCTACAAAGCGTTCTGTCTTGCTCTCGGCTCTCTCGTTCTCTCTAAACACCGCTCTCTGCTCCTCACTCTCCGCGCCACAGTCCGGACGCTCGCGCCCGTACTCCCTTGCGCGCAAGGCGTACGCTGCGCGGGAAGAGGAGGGGCTTGCGGCGTGCGGGCGGCGAGTCCTAGGCGCCCCTCCTCGCCGCGCGCCCCTCCTTCCCCCCTCAGGCCTTGCGGATCAGGTTGTTGACATCCTCGGGCGCCCAGATGAGCTCGCCTAGAGCGGGGGCGTCCGTCCGAGGGCTCAGGAGGGGGGGGGGGGGGGCAGGCGGGCGCTCGTCTTGCGGCGACGCGGGGAGGGGCTCACCACTGTCGAGCTTCACTTGGTAGGGAGCAACCATCCCGGGCGGCATGAACCTACGGTGTGGGGTGGCTCTGGAGGGAGAGGACCTGCCGGATGCCCACATCCATGTGTGCCTGCCTGCTTGCTTGCTTGCTTGCTTGCTTGCTGCGTGTGTGTGTGTGTGTGTCTACGTCTGTGCATACCTGCGTGTGTGTGTGTGTGTGTGCACGCGCCGACATGAGGGCGGGAGTACGGTATCGTGCCGTGCATTCAGAGCACCGCGTGAGGACGAGGGGTGCGAAGGCAGTGGAATGCAGCGGAGTACGACCGAGTACGGCTGAATGCGTGTCCTCTCGGAGTGCTAGTTGGGAGACGTGGACACGGCTTCCGTTTCTAGCGGCACGAACTCGTCACAGTACATGTGGGCGACCACCTCGCCCTTGACCCACCCGCAGCACGCCTTGGACTCCACCTTGGAGCCCATCGCGAAGTTAAGCGTCTTGATCTGCTTCTCGA